ACCAGTGCTTTACTCTCTAACCAATGACTAAACAAGCAGAAACCCAACCAGCAGGGTCACCGATCAATCAGCTGATCACTGTCCTGACGATCTGATTGATCTGTTTATCCCCAGAATGTCAGACACTGTGTGAGCACAAGATGGAAGCAGTGAGGCAGAAATGATGGTTTGCAGCAGGGTTTAGGTTGTGTTCAGGAGTACTACTGTGTTCTGAACAGCTAAATGTGAGAGTACACAGTAAACAAATACAATCCCTCTTAAATACTACTGCTACTATAAGCACATGATAGTGGAACACTTAAGTATTGTTGTACAACTTTAAGCTTCTTGTATTTTCCATAAATGCCCATGTTATACTGATTTACACTCTACTACATTTCATATTATTGTACTGTACTTTTGACTCCACTACATGTGTTTGAGTTTAATCTGTAAAGAAAAAGTTGCAGGTGGTGATGGTCGTTATTCACAGTAGTGGAAGAAGTACTGGGGTCATTTTAATAAAGTAAAAGTAGCAACATGTATCAAAATGTACTTCACTGTGTTGTCTGTTGTACCTTTATGTATTAATACATTTATTACTGCTGCATTGTGTGAGCAGCTGATGAAAGACACTTGAACTACTGTAGATACTGCTGCGTAGTACTACCACTATCTACAGTCTTAATTTTCAAAGTAACTAGAGCTGTCGGCAGTGTTGTCTCCTACTGGAGTCCAAGTCCTGATTTTTCAGGACTTGATGTGACTTCGACTTGAGCAGCGACGACTAGGACTCGAGCACTGACTGCGTTCAGACTCTGAAGTTGGAAACAAGGACTCAAGACTTTTTTGTAACAGGACATGATAATTTGGCATCAGCTATTAAAACCTGTTTGCCTGCACTGTGTGTATCCAGCTCACGTCCATTTAAGTTTATTTGCCTGTTGTCACACAGAATAACTCTGTGGCAGTTTGTTTAACGGACTCGGTTAACGGGGACTTGCACTTGAGGTTTTGTGACTCTACTACAACACTGGCTGTCAGATAAGTGTAGTAGACTAGAAAGTACAATATTTCCCTCTGAGTCATAGCGGAGTAGAAGCATAAAGTAGTGTACGTACAGCACCTGGTTCCAGTAAACACTGACAGCGCAGGTCGTTTGTGTTGATTGACCAAAACAAGCTATTGGAAGACATCAGCTGGGCTTCAGGAAAACGTGATCTGCTGCCAGAAATGCTGACTTGGTGCAGTGAGAAAGTGATCAACAGGGTAATCGATGGTGAAAATAACTTTCAGCCTGGTAGTGGAGTTGAAGCTCCTCGCTGAGGCAGGGTAAACATCAGGGCTTTGTCTGTTCTGAGGATGTGACCGTGGAGTAGCTGGAGGGTCAACGCTGTCACGTGTGTTGCTATTTCAGCTGCAAATACTACACAGTATGACTGGCTGTTTCCCCAAATGAACTGTCGTGTCTGTTTGGAAACAGCAGCTTAAGTGAGCTTGAGCAATGAAAGGGTGGAGGACCTCAGTGCATCAGTGTGTGTTATTCTGGGTCAGCCATTTTCCTGGAATGTTCTGCCTGCTGCCAAAGACAAGTCACTACACAGGAATGCACACATAACGCTGCAGAAACACAAGGATGACTTAAAAAGGCCTGAAAGTGAGGAGACAGGGCTGTGTCTCTGTAGCTGTGGCCCATGTTACTCTCCATGTTTGAGAGCCACCTCCTTTCTCCTGCACTTTGTAGCAGCTACAGTTATACAAAAATAAAAACCCAGGAGTCTCCTTTCACTTGTCACCCAGCTGCAGGTGCATGAGCCATCTGCCTGTAACACTCCCATGTGTAGACTTAATTCAATGAGAACATTTATTGTGAAAGCAAAGCAACATAACAGTTTTCCTGAGCCCTTCTTCATCCTCCTCTCCATCAAAAACAACAAGATGAACAACATACTTTAATCAGAGGGAGTGCAGTCAGCGTTCAGTTGCTCCCTCTTTGTCTCCTCCCCAGCTCCTCTGTTTGTCTTCTCTTCCTTCTGGAGGTCAGACTGTTGCAGCACTGATGGCTGTTAGGGTCAGTGCTTCAGCCGCGTGCACCCTCTCAGGTTTTGTGGAGTTATGTAGTGGAGGAGTCGCTTACTCTGTCCTGTGACATTGTGAAATGACTGCAGTAGGTTGGAAGTGTGTGTGTGATTGTACTCTGCGGCAGGTCGTAGGGGAGGAAGCAGCAGCAGCAGTGTGTGGTGGTGGTGGTGGGGTGGGTGATATGGATAGTGTAGAGAAAAATGAAGAAATGGGAAATCTCAGCACCTGTTTCCAGGGCAACAGAGGTCTGAAAAACAGGCAGGTTGGACTTTTTATTCTCCACGCTGCACTGCCCTCTGGCAAGATACTGCAGACACCTCTAATGACTGAAACACTCGCCGGGCCTGCTGCGAAAACACTGCCTGGCTTCAAGTGACACGGACGCTGCCGCTCTGTGTGTCTGGGGGTACGT